TTGTCTCCTTCTCGAGTAGGTTGCAAAGGGGCTTGGCAACTTTTGAAAAATCTTTGATAAAACGCCGATAAAAGCCCGCATGTCCAAGAAAACTCCTAATGCCTTTGACCGAAATAGGTGGCGGAAGATTTTCAATTGTGGAGATCTTTGCTTTGTCCACTTCCAAGCCTTCTCGCAAGATTTTATGCCCAAGCACAATTCCTTCGTGCACCATGAAGTGGCACTTCTCCCAATTTAGCACCAAGTTGGTTTCTTCGCACCTGCGCAAAACTTTAGCCAACATGCAAAGACAAGTGTCAAAAGTATCACCGAAAATAGAGAAGTCATCCATAAATACTTCCAAACCGTTCTCTACCATGTCGGTGAAAATAGCCATCATGCACCGCTGAAAAGTAGCAGATGCATTACATAAACCAAAAGGCATGCGTCTAAATGCAAAAGTACCATAAGGGCATGTAAATGTGGTTTTGTGTTGATCATCCGGTGCAATGGCTATTTGATTATATCCCGAATATCCATCTAAAAAACAATAAAATTCTTTACCTGCCAATCTATCAAGCATTTGATCAATAAAAGGTAAAGGAAAGTGATCCTTTTTAGTGGCTTTATTTAATTTCCTATAATCCATGCAAATTCGCCAACCCGTTGTTGTTCTAGATGGAATTAATTCATTATTTGCATTACGGATAACTGTCATACCTCCTTTCTTAGGAACACATTGAACGGGGCTTACCCATGCGCTATAAGAAATCGGATAAATAATACCTGCGTCGAGCCACTTGAGAATTTCCTTCTTGACTACCTCTTTCATGATGGGGTTGAGACGCCTTTGCTGCTCTACTGACGGATGTTGTTGATCATCCAAGATGATTTTGTGCATACACAATGAAGGGCTAATTCCCTTGATATCCGCAATTTTCCATCCAAGCGCCGTCTTGTGTTCCCGCAGTACTTCCAATAGCCTTTGTTCCTGCAAAGTAGATAGAGATTGTGAGATAATTACCGGCAAAGTATCATTCTTACCGAGGTAGGCATATTTGAGGTGTCCGGGTAATTCTTTCATCTCAAGCTGTGGTGGTTCCTCCAATGATGTTTTGAATGCCTTGGGGGTGGTAAGGGTGGCCAAATCCAAACTTTCAAACTTTTGCCGAGTGAGAAAGTCGCCGGAATCTAACCAACAAATTTGCTCCTCCACTCTTTCATCTCCGCAATCGTTACCTACAACCAAAGATGCTTCCAAAGAATCCAAGAGTAACGAATCAAAATTTTCAAAAGAACAAGACTCCACTAAATCGATAGAAAAACACTCATTAGAATTGTGCGGACGCTTAATTGCATTAAAAACGTTAAATTTAATAGTTTGGTCATGCACAGTTATGGTGAGATCCCCACTAGCACAATCGATGACAGTACGTGAAGTAGCTAAAAACGGCCTTCCCAAAATAATTGGGATTTCTCTATCTTCATCCATATCAAGAATCACAAAATCAGCAGGAAGAATAAATTCGTCAACCTTCACTAAGACATCTTCTAAAACCCCCTTTGGGTAGACTAGAGACCTATCGGCTAATTGGAGTGTTATAGCCGTTGGTTCAATTTCACCCAACCCGAGACTCTTATATGTAGAAAACGGCATAAGGTTTATGCTAGCCCCTAAATCAATGAGTGATCGAAAAAATTTATCTCCTATTGTACAAGGGATAGTAAACTTACCTGGATCGCCGAGTTTTTGAGGGAGAGGTCTTGTAAGGATTGCACTACACTGTTCGGTGAGTTGAATCATCTCGTTTCCTTGCAATTTTCGTCCCTTCGTTACGAGTTCCTTGACAAACTTCACCCACTTTGGCATTTGTTGGAGTGCTTCGATGAGGGGGATATTGATACGGATTTCCTTCATCTTGTTGAGAAAGCTTTGGTATTCGGCATTTAACTTCGGTGGTTGGAACCTTTGTGGGTATGGGATGGGAGGAGCCGGTGTAACCTTCGCCCTTGAAGTTTCGCCTTGAACATGTGTGTCCTCTTCCGCCACCTCGGTCGCCTTTGTTTTTCCATTATTTATCTCTTTTCTCGGGGCTTCTTCCAATTGTCGTCCGTTACGTAGACTCACTGCTTGTACTTGCTCGTTTTGCCTTTTTCTTGGGTCCTCCGTGTTTGATGGTAATGCTCCTTGCGGACGGTTCTCTTGATTCAAAGCAAATTGAGCGAATTGATTTTCCAAGTTCCGCAGCGAGGCTTGGGTAGCAGTCATGAATTGGGCCAATATCTCTTCCGTGCTTGATTTTTGGGCCGGTGGATTGTTGCCTTGATAGCCTTGTTGAGTAGGGGCTTGATTTTGGAATTTACCTTGAGGTCTTTGATACCCTTGGCCTTGTTGATTTCCTCCATATTGCCCTTGTGATCTCCACCCTTGATTTTGGAATTGGCGAGGCGCGTTGTTGACGTAGTTGAGCGACTCCCTATCTTGTTGGCATTGGAGCGTGTAGTGATTTCCACCGCAAATTTCACAACATGGAGATTCAACTACTTGAACTTGTTGTGGTGGACTTGCTTTGATGTGCTGCAGAAGGAGTTGATTTTGTTGAGCAATTTGGGTCACTTGAGCTTGAAGGGCCGTAATTGCATCTAACTCCAACACTCCGGGAACTTTCTTGGCTCCACTAACCGTCCTCTCGCTTGACTTGGCAAACCGATTTTGAGCAATTTGATCCAACATGATGAAAGCATCCGGTATCGATTGACTCATAAAATTTCCCCCGGTGGATGCATCTAAGACCGTTCGTGCATTCTCGTTAATCCATTGGTAGAAGATGTGGATTTGCCGCCATTGTTCGACTCCATGTGTTGGACATTGCCGCAAAAGAGTTTTAAATCTCTCCCATGCCTCGTATAATTGCTCGCCTTGCTCTTGGACAAAATTGTGAATTTCTCGCCGGATTCTCTCGTCCTTCTCGGGTGAGCTATAGACTTTCATGAAAAGGTTGAGGAGTTGAGGCCACGACGAGATAGAGTGGGGGGCTTGGGACATCAACCACTGGCGAGCTCTTCCTTGTAGGGAGTGCTTGAAGAGAATTAATTAAAGCGCCTCTTGGGAAACGCCGTTTTGACGGTGGGAATTACAGGTATCTAGAAAATTGACAATGTGCAGATGGGGATCTTCACCTGCCAACCCACTAAATAGCCCGTTATTTTGGAGCATCGTCAAAAGGCCTTGTTTGATCTCAAAATTATGCGCCTCAATGGGTGGATATTGGATGCTCGGGCGGAATCTGTCTAGCGTTGGGATTATGTAGTCTTGAAGTGCCCGTGGACGAACTGCTGGCTGTGCTGGAAGTTGAAGGGGAGGGTCTTGGACTTGGTTTCCGTTGGCATTGAGTAAATTACCCGGTGCCCTGCGTTCTTCGTCCTCCATTATATTGTTTGCACGTTGTCGTCTCCTAGCGGCTCGAAAAGTACGTTCGATTTCGGGATCAAACGGTTCTCTAGCTAGATCGAGTCTTCTGCGCATACACAGTACCTAAAAACAAAAAAAAAAAAAAATAAAACAAAAATGAAATGGGTGAATCGTGAAAATTGTTCAAATTTAAAGCTAGAATAAAATAAATAATTAAAATATTCCCCGGCAACGGCGCCAAAAACTTGTTGGTCGAAAACCTACACGCAAGTGCACGTATCGTACAAGTAATATAGTGGACAATTAAGTCCGGATATCGAACCCACAGGGAATATTTAATTATCTAATCCTAGACGCTAAATTCTACCAATTATTATCAAGCCCACCCTACACAGTCGACTTTAAAGAGAATTAACTAAAATAAATTAAAAAGCAAATTAAAACGACAAAGCAAGAAAGCAAATTAAACACGAAGATTTATCAGAGTAAACGAGCCTAGGATTTTATTCTTCCCCCTATGTGATTATTATTCCCCCAATTCCTTCAATTATGCAAGCAATTAACCCGGATTATTAACCTGAGATGCTAAAATAATCATAACCCGCTTCCGCGTGTATTACGATTCTAATACTCTAGATTCAATTACTATATTCCTATGCAATTAATTCTAGAACACAGCATTAAGCACAAATCTCAATAATGGCTACCTAAGAGATTAACTATATTCCTATGTTAATACCACAAAGGCTCTTCTACCACAGTTCTAATTATTAACCCGATCTTACGATTCATGCGATTAACAATAACATAAAAGCGCATAAAGTGGCCAGTTTCATGAACTTAATAAAACAAGTAGAAGAAATAATCCGGAATTAAAACTTGCATAAAATCATAGAATTGGGTTCATAAATCCCACATAGGGTTCCAAATAAAATCCTAGAAATAAGAAAATTAGCTACTCATGATTAAAGGAAAAACACAAATAAAATAAATCATAGACGATAAATCTATGCTTAGAGTCTTCGAATTCTTCGTCTTCGTTATTGCTTTGTTGCTCTCCAAATTGCGTAAAGATGATCTCCTTAATTGTGTGCTTGGCTTGGTCTTATATAGGGTGAAGAACTTGGGGAAGAAGGCAGTTTCCTTGTACAATTAAGATTCCTTCACTGCGCCAACTCGACCATCCGGACGGCCGTGTGAGATTTATGCCTAAAATCCGCACGGCCGCGCGGTCCTTGATTCTCCAGAATTCTGCTTTTTTCACTTTTGGCCCATATTTTCTCCAAAATTGCAGTTTTGACCCCATACTTTTCCAATTCTTCAATTTGTACCTAAAATACAATAAATCAACTTTTTAAGCACCAATTATCATTAAAACACACCAAAAGCTCAAATAAAAAGATACGATAAAGTGTAAAAATATACACTTAACAAGTACCGTGCAATTTTCTCTTAATTGAATTTCACCCATTAATAGAATATTGAGGCAAACTAATTTTATGAAATGGAAGAACTCTCTCTCACTTTCCTCCTCATTTGTTGGATCGATCCTTCTCTCTCTCTCTTCCTCTCAATTTCTCTCTCCCCATTTTTCAACAAACTCTTTTTTTCTTTTAACACTCAAAACAAACCAATTATCAACCTCCGATCCACCACCGCCATGGCTTCACCACCACCACCACCACCACCCTCCGCCGCCGCCGTCAATCCATCAAATCACCACCACCTCCACCCCGTCCAGGTCAAAACCTCCTCCCCACGCTTCCCACCTTCCCCCGCCACCCCAAACTCCATCTCCGCCATCTCCCCCTCCTCCCGCCGCATCGCGATCGCCGTCGACCTCAGCGACGAGAGCGCCTACGCCGTCAAATGGGCCGTCGAGAACTACCTCCGCCCCGGCGACACCGTGATCCTCCTCCACGTCCGCTCCACCTCCGTCCTGTACGGCGCCGACTGGGGCTCCTCCACCCCCACCACCGCCACCGCCTCCACCAACAACCCCTTCTCCAAGACCTCCCCGCAGCAGATGGAGGAGGACTACGACAACTTCACCGCCGCCAAGGCCAACCACCTTGCCCAGCCGCTCGTGGAGGCGCACGTGCCGGTCAAGATCCACATCGTCAAGGACCACGATATGAAGGAGCGGCTCTGCCTGGAGGTTGAACGGCTGGGATTGAGCGCCGTCATTATGGGGAGCCGTGGGATTGGTGCTTCGCGGCGGAGCAGCAAAGGCAGGCTTGGTAGCGTCAGCGATTACTGCGTGCAGCACTGCGCTTGTCCGGTGGTGGTGGTTCGGTATAATAATCACGACGATAAATCCGAGGCGGCGGCGGCGGCGGAGGAGAAGGAGGTGGAGGAATTTCACGATGCCGATGATCAACAAAAGTGATGAAAGGTTTCTCTCTCTCATTTTACCCCCCACTTCTTTTTCTTTTTTTCTTTTTTGCCCCCATAAATTTGTCATTTTTTATTTGTGTGATTAAATTGTTAATTTTTATAATTTTTTAACAAGCCTTGTGAGTTTGATAAAGGGAAAATATAGTTTTCGTCCATCACGTTTGCACCGATTTCACATTTCGTCCATCATGTTAAAAAAAAACACATTTGGTCTCTCATGTTTAAAATATTTAACAGTTTTAGTCGTTTCCGTCAATTTTCCGTTAAAACTAACGGAATCGAGCGTGTGCCCATCACTACCTTAACCGACAAACTAACAGTAAATTGACGGAATTTACCGAGAGTGTTAAATTATTGAAACATGATGGACCAAATGTATTTTTTGTGAACATTAGGGATCAAATGTGGAATCGGTGCAAACTTGAGGGGTGAAAACTGTAATTTTCCCATTAGATAAATATTCATTTATTGGGAAAAATACAGTTTTCATCCCTGAAGTTTGCACCGATTTCACATTTACATAAAATACATTTGATCCCTCGTGTTTCAAAAATTCAACATTTGTAGTCCTTTCTGTGATTTTTTTCGTTAAAACTAACGGAATCAAGCGTGTGTCTATCACCTATTTAACTGACAGACTAATGGTAAATTGATAGAAATAACCAAAAAATTTAGATTATTGAAACATGAAGGACCAAATGTGTGTTTTGTGAACATGGAGGAACAAATGTGATATTGGTGCAAACTTGAGGGGTGAAAACTGTAATATCCCTTTATTTATTTATAGAAAAACTCACGGACACGTAGGAAACTCCTTGGGCCATTTTTGTAATTTCAAATTTAAAGAGTAGCAAATCATCAATATTTTTATTGTTATCTTAATTATTTATGTGACCATAATCCATTGTTCAATTACAAATTGGTGGTTGATACTACTATTTATTTAAATAAATTTATACAAAAAATATAAATAAACAAAATGTTCGATGTGTATTTTTATAACTTCTATACACACCTATATATTTTTAATATGTACGCGTTCTCCTGACTTAGTTTTCAGGTACGAATGTGTCAGATTGGTTTCGATTTAGTACAATCCTAGTCGTTTCCAATAAAAAGTCATACTTATATTTTGGAGAAATTATAGTTTCCATCCCTGAAGTGTGCACCGATTTCACATTTGGTCCCTCATGTTCCAATAATTTAACACTTTTGTTCATTTCCGTCAATTTACCATTAGTCCGTTAGTTAAGGCAGGAATATGCACACGCTTGATACCGTTAGTTTTAACAGAAAATTAACAGAAACGACTAAAAGTGTTAAATTTTCGTAACACAAGGGACTAGATGTGTTTTTTGTGAACATAGGGGATCAAATATGTAATCGGTGCAAACTTGAGGGAAAAAAATTGTATTTTTCCCCTTATATTTTGATGTCTTCATAATTAGATGAGATTCTTTTTTTTTATATAATTGGATGAGATTCACTTCACCTAATTTATGTTTTTGTTTCATACTACACCGGCTGACGTACACTGGATATCCATTCATTTGCAAAAAAAATACAGACGTATCTATTTTAATTTTTATTTTTGTTAATGAATGATAGGTATTTGCCCGATAAATATATACTTCACTTGGTGCATGTAGTATAACATTTAGAGTGATATTAATTACCTTTTTGTGCAGGAATAATTTTGAGATGGTGAATGCCCAAGACTTCATTTTTTTTCTTCATAAATGGTGGTTTCATTTGGTGTTGTAGTGCCAATAATGCAGGCACGAGTTGAGGATAATATATCTTTTTTTATTCCATTTGTATCCCTCCATGAGAGAACCACCTTTTCATTTATATATATATATATGTTTTACCAAATATAATTATTCCATATATATGTTTTGTCAACAAGACAACCACCACTTTTTACTATTAAAAAATTAAAAAAATAAATAAATAAATAACCTACCAACTTTCACATACACTCATACTTTAAGCTTCTAGTTCTAATACTTGCAACTTCCCAATAGTCAAGAATACATGGAACTGCAATATTGCATGTTGGTTCTTTGAAATCAACAATTTTCAAAAACCGATCTGAGAACCGGTGGGACGAACCGTTTTAAAATCGATCAAATAATCGTACACAAATAAAAAAACGAAATTGAATAAAATCAAACCGTCGTAAAATCGATTTTAGTGGTTTTCAATCTTACAAAAACTGATATATTTAGTTCACAATTCAAGGTTTAGCCAATAATCGAGTAGAATCGAATCGTTCTCACCCATACTAACGGTTTCTTCCGTTATCACAAAAAAAAAAAAAAAAAAAAACGGGAAAAAAAATGTCACAATGTACATGTATGTCTGTGTGTGTGTGTGTGTGTGTGTGTAAAATCAAAGGTGAGAGTTCAATCCTTAAACGAGCATCAAAACACCAAAAGAACTATTTTTTCATGGTTAAATAATTGATTGACTCACAAATCCCTATTTCTAATATTAAAACCAATCACCTCATCTTTCAACACAGTTTTTTAAGCCAATCAGAAAACGAAACGAAGAAAAACACGTAAAAGACAAACATATACACAGTTATTTAAACGGTTTCTAAAGTTCCCTCGCTTCGGCTTCGCCCAAAGTCACCGAACTGATTCCCATTGGTCGCCGCCTTAACTCCGCCGGGGGCCACCGCCCCCCTTCTGCTCCTGGACGATCTCTGTGATGCCGCCACCTGGATTTTCCGCCTCGTGGTACTCTTGACTTCAACTCGGGACCCACGCCCGATGTCCTTAACAGCCCCGATTTTGATGGATTGTGTGTTGTAATAGGTGAGCTGAGGAAGAAGGCTTTGTGCGTACTTCTTTAATTGTTCGTCGCCTACGTTTTTCTGTGCTGGATTGCCTTCCAAACTGAGGGATTGGAGACAGCTATAATTGGCCGCCAGCTGGCCGAGGCATTTGGTTGTCGAGATTTTGTTGAAACGCAAATCCAAGACGCTTAGTTTTAGGAGGCGGTGGAGACCTTCCACCTCGCTGATTTTGTTGCCAGCTAGATATAGTTCCTTGATGGAAGAGCACCCTGCTAGGCCTTTTTGAAACAGATTAAAAGTTGTATCAGATAGGATTTAAACAATTAAACAATTGAACATTAGTTGATATTTAATTAGTCCGATAACTTTTCGAAAAAAAAAAAAAAAACTGGAAAACAAATAAGCCTATATAGAATTACATATTGAACTCTAATAATCCAATTAAATAATTCGAGTCTCGTAAGATTGCATGATCAAAATCAAGAAATATAAATTTCTTGAGATGGTTTTAGTTCTTTACGGGACTACGAGTCTTCCGATTTATAAGAAATTTCTTGTGATGGTTTCAATTTTCACACACATTAGATTTAACGCAACATCGAGTATTTTTTTAAGTCAACTGCTATCATGATTTTCGATAATTTTACAATGAGCATAAATAAGAGGATGAAAATCATACCATGTCCAATCCTTAGTATCCGATTATAACTGAGGTCAAGCACGCGAAGTCGAGTAAGATCTCGTAATCCTTCTATGGCAGATATATGATTTTTTGACAGATTCAAAATGTGAAGACCTCGTGGAAGAGCACCAGAAGTAATCCTCGCTTAAAAAAAAATTACAAACACGAAAAATTTATCAGGCAACATAATAAATCACCTCAGAGCAATATAAAAAAATCGTTATTCGTTAGTATAAAACATACCTATTGAATTTCCAGATAAGTTGACCACTTTGAGGCTGACAAAAGCACTGAGGAACGGGATCACAACCAACCCGAGATTAGTCAACTGAGCCGCTGTGGCCGAGGCATTCAGAGAAGTGATATATCTCGTTGCAGCTTCCGCTCCAGGGTTGACTTTGACTTCCATCTTCTTACTAGAAGGTTCCTCTAATAAAGCATTAGAACCTTCCTGAAACTCGTGATTACTACATGAACCAAATTCATTAGTAAACTCTTCTACCGGGCTGCGGCAGTGCTGATGATCGAAAACCCATTCTTCGATTCTTGTTAGCCTAAGTCCCTTGGTTGGTAATTCATCCTCAATTTTCTCCATATTTACGGCATCTGCCACCACAGGTATCTTTTCAGAATCTAAAGCGTTCAAATCGCCGAGAGATTTAGAGCACGGGAAACTGGATGAAGAGTATTGAACAGGGGAAGTAGTAATGCTGGGCAGAGAAGTGGATTTCACAATACGAGGTGTACAAACACCAGAATCATCTGAACCAGATAAACAAGACTCGTTTGTTGCGAAATTGGAATTAAGTCTAATGGAATCAGATTCTATAAGTTCTTGATCGTCTTTAGCAGATCCATCACAGGAAGCATTATTATGGTCCACGTCATCATCATCATCTGAATGATCATCTGAATGATCGGAACCAAATGTTCGATCTTTTGAATTCAATCCACTTCCCAAAGACTGGCTCTTTCTTATTTGTGAATTCTTATTAACAGGGGAGGAATCGGATTTATCGTCTAATGCATCTCCCTCTTCCTCTAAACCTGACTTGTTTTTCTCCAGGGCATTTTCCAACGTTTTCTTCATTGCTTCAGCAGATAGGCGGCCGATTTTCTGTTAAGAAAAAATAAAAAAATGTATATATTAGAAAATATTTTAAAAGAAAAGATGACAATTTTTAGAACGACGACCCACTAACCTTCTGTTTGTCAGAGTGGCTGTGAGCTTGAAAGCATGAAAATCGAACCATCTTTTGCACATCAAATACTCCTATTTTCTCAAGAATTCCGAAAATATACTAAAAAATAAATCATACGACGCGCTCGTGCGATTCAATTACATTTCCTGACAAGACTCAGCCATAATCGAGGGATAAACCTTGTGAAATGCGGCACAATCTCCAGATATGTGATGAAATTGACCCCCTCAAAACAACTAATAGTATCAGTCCCTTATTATTGCTCCACAATTGCTCACGTGTGTGACGAACTTTTGATGCTGTTATAGCTGCCAGGCTGGAAGGCTAAATCCAATCGTGTATGTAATAATGGAGTCCCTGATTACGATAGAATGCAAAAAATAACATTGATCAGTACAATGCATAGGAGAAACTATCATATAGAAGTCACTTGAGCATTTACACAAACAGTTTGTATGCCAGTATTAATTATATAGTTAATTCGTATGTTGATCATCAATTAGTTCTTAAATCCTAGAAAAGAAAAAGGGAAAAGGAAAAAAAAAACAAGAATTAATGAAAATCATGATTCATAAATTGTAATTCAGCTGAAATCTTCGAAAAATTACAAAATTATTGAGAAAATCATTACTGCATTATACAAACACATAAATTGCAGATAATTCCAGGATACAATTAATCAATTCTGAAGAATTTGCTTCTCAAATCAAAGGCTTGAATTCACATATCATCAAAAACAAAATAAGAACAACGATTTTTTTCAAATACGTTATCGTTCGAAATTCGAAACGAAATCAACAAAAAAAAAAATTACAGAATACACGATTAATGGGATAAATACGATTGGAATTGATTACCAAATTAAAGAACAAAAGCGCTAACCTCTGATAGGGCAGATTGGCTGGTAATGTATGTAGGTTTTCTAATAACGAAGAACTACCGAAAAAATAATATAGATACCAATTTATTATTATCAATGTGAAGAAAAAAAAGGGAAAATATGAAGAATTTTTTTAAAGAAAAACTTTTTTGTGTAACCTAATATTGAAATTACTTGTCGGTTAATTAAATCACTTCAGATTTCGAAAATTTGATTTGGAAAAGAGATAAACATTAATGAATTTATTATATTTATTAAAATATTAAAACATAGGTCCCGTTTGGTTGTCAAGATAAGTCATGATTAACTAAATAGTTGGATTTAATTTGATGTTTGGTATCCTTAATAACTTGCTGGGTCGACCCGCCAAAATTATATACTCATAACTTATCTTGCCTTGTCGAGGCTTACCTTCCATTCTAATGAGGTTTTTTTGGTGGACGTTCAAGCTCAGCTCCAATAAAATAATTGGATTTTATTAGATTATTTTAGCTTCTGAAAAGCTTGACGATACACTTCCGTTATCAGGATGAAATTAAAGGTAAACTAGTCACTAGGGTTTTTTTTTATTATAGGTCCTTTTTACCAGTCATTTGATCCATTAACGACCCAACTATTGTGGTTGATAATGAATCATCAATCAACCAACTCGTTTTGGTCAGACCGATAATTTCAATAGGCCCATATATAGTTGGGTCGGTTGAAAAATTCTAATATATTGAAAATCGGTTGGTCGATATCACCTTACCAACCGGCCTACTATTTTTTGTTAATATTTCTATTTTCAATTTTCACATATTCATTGCAGCGTTCACCGCACGTCTTTAAAAAAAATAAAAAAAATATTATTATTATTATTATTATTATTATTATTATTATTATTATTATTATTATTATTATTATTATTATTATTATTATTATTATTATTATTATTATGATCTAAATACACATTTTGTCAATGTATTTTTACATGATTTTCTTTCTCTTATTAAAATAAGATGTTAACGAAAAAATAAGAGCCGATAAAAATAGGATAATTCAGTAACTTTACCTCAACCAAATTCACTTGCAAATGTAGGGTAATCAAGCACAAATTGCGTGCAAATTTCGTTCTTATTACGTTATAATGTGATGATACGGGCAAATTCATACTTATTTTTCCAAGCAAGTATTTTCAAAAATGAATAATATTTTAAAATAAAAATAATATGATATTCTTTAATATTAATTTGTTAATGTTATGTATATATATTGTTAATGTTATGTATATATGAAGGTAGCTGAAATATTTAATATGAATTTGAATTTTTAAAAAAAGGACAAAGAATGGAGGGCCTTAAAGAGAATATCAATGAAAATGACGAATCATCATCTTCATAATATATTTCCAATTGTTGTTGAGGAACATTTAATTTAGACCACACTAAAATACAACCACATTCTAAATTACATTTATTGCAATTAACATTTTAGGTGGTGTTTGCAAACGATTTTCCAAAGTGATTATGAGTTTTTTAATGTTAAAAAAAAATGATTTAAATTTGCAATGAGCTAAATATTTTTCATATACTTAATTAGAGAATTCAACTGTGTATATGAAACAAATGTGAGATCTTAATTATTGAGGTCAAACAAGAAGTCAAACGATGCTCATTTGTATTAGATATTTTAATCTTTGAAACAAAAAAAAGTAAATTGAGATATTAAAAAACATGAATAATAATTGATCGGCAACAAGTAGTTGATAAGTAACTAGCGGTTGAGATTAAGTCGTAAACCACACGTAAAAATTGACCAATCACCATCCTATGTTTGTTGGTTCCTTCGACCAGGGGCGGAACCAGGATTAAAATGTAGGGGGGGCTAACTAAAATTTTGGGGTTCGGGCAGCGCCCCGAAAAAAATTTGAGGTGCACAAAACATTGCAAAAAATAAGTTTATATAACTAATTTTTAATTAAAATATCATATATACATATATATATATATATATATATATATATATATATATATATATATATATTAATCATCACAACAAATTCTAAATTAATTCAAATTATTCTAATAATAACTGCATTTAATATTTCGGAGATTCATGGCACGATCTCATCTTTTATTTTTAAGGCATTAGATAAAAAAATTCAAAAATAAGTAATATTCATAAATTTTGTTTAAAATAATACAAGTTTTAACCATCTTATTTTATATTTTATATTAAATATGATTATTTATCTATAATTTATATAAGATTTTGGAGAAAAAACAAAAAAAATAATGGGTCAAAATAAATATTTACAAAAACTTTGGGGGGTCAAAAGTAATATTCAAAAAATTAAGTACCAAATATCTAAAAAAAAAAAAAAATTCTTGGGGGGTCAATGGCCCCCGCATGCCCCTTGCATTGCCGCCAGTGCCTTCGACCCTATACCCGGTGAAAAACACTGGGTGTAGAGTCGAACATTGAGGACCTACAACTTTAGTCGTAAACGTTAAACTTTTTTTAACGGCTTTAAGCTAGAAAACTACGCACCGGATGGGTCATCCTAATATGCGATAGGGATATATGTCGATACGACGCTCGGACACATCGCTCACTAAGGCGTACAACTGAGGGACCAGACTCATGGCTTATAGACCCCGGGTAGATTCCTGGCAAACGATTGAATATACCTATCTAATAAATCATACACCCATGACTTAGCTACTTTACTTATGACTCGACCCCTAGA